GGCTCACAATCCAAAAGTGTAAGAAAAGGATCCCGTTTGCTAACCACTCACTTCCCTCCTCAAGGCCATGTGCCGATCGATGTCAGTTTCTTACGTATTTTTCTGGAGAAATTGTAACTATGCATTTATATTCCCAAGCAGTAGCGTAAAAAGTACAGGCCGTTCTGCACACCGCATAGCTTCTTGGAAGGCTATCTGCTCCCTCTGCAGTCTCCAGCTCCTCCACTGCAGCTGCTCTGCAGGCCTGGACGCTCCTGTCTGGTCCCTTCTACGAGGTCCTGCATCTAATCAGCTTGCCGGGCCTGACTGCGACCTTTCTGACCTTCACCATATCTCCTTCTTGTTCCTCTGCCTCCACCTTCTCTTGGGCCCCACTTGTCACCTTGGGCACTGCAGTAGCTTCCAGGCTGTGCCCCCTGCCCCCAAGATCTTATTATTGATCCTCATCCAGCCTTGGTTTCAGGAGATGGAGAGGATTTATTGCACTAACCTGGGTGACCTGGGTTAGGATCTGGACCCTGTCTTTTCCTTACGTAGCACCTCCTTCAGCAAATGGCCCTGTGTGGTGTCTATGGTTTCCTCCCGGATGACCTCCAGGGCCTGGCTCCAGGCCTTCAGAGGCTGTGATTACAGTTCCCTTTCTCCGCAGTCCGGGCCCCGCCCTGGCTGCCTGTACCGCTGGCTCCCCGGTGGGCCACACTCCCCCTTCCCATTGCCTGCACCTCTGAAAAGCCCTCCCTGATCTGAATGTCCAGATCCTCTCATCCTTGAGGCCCTGACTCAGCTGTACTTCTCCCCCAAATCCTTCTGCTTGTCCTCTGGTGGCAGGAGCCGTTATGTCCTGGCAGAGCCACACTCTGTCATGCTTTATCTGTCTCACCAATGTCCCTGACCACGGTGCTTGTGGAGCTGCTCCATGCCTGTGCTGCTGCTGCCACCCGTCTATCTGGTACCCTAGAGAGTATTTTGCACAGGGAAAGGGGTGAGGTTGTGAAAGTCGAGGGACCTGGGCCCAAGTCCTGGCTGTTACAGTTTTTAAGCCTCAATCCCCTACTCCTAAAATGAGATAGCATCCTAATTCATGGTGTGGTTGTGTTGGTTAGATGAGACAGGATTTATGAGAAGCCAGCTGTAGGGCTATATGCTTGTAATCCCAACACTCGAAGGCTGAGGCAAGAGGATTGTAAATTTGAGCCCGGCCTGGCAACTTGCTGAGACTCTGTTTCAAAATAAAAAATAAATAAAAACAAAAAGGGCTGGGGTAGTACAGCAGTCAATCAATAAATAATAACAAGAGAGAGAAAGTGCTTGGTGATCTGTAAAGCTATTTAAAATACAAATAAGTTTACAGATTTATTGATTATCATACTGGGGGCCTCCTGCAGGAACTCTGTTACTGAGCTATATCCCCAGATCTACAGAAACAATAATAGTAAAGATAAATATTACCCAGATGTGGCAAGAGTGATGGCCTTTCTAAAGAGAGTTATTTTTAAAAGTTGGAAATGAGGAAAATGAGTGATTTCTCTTGGTTACTCAAAATTTGGGCATTGATTTGTAATTATTCCTTTTAAGTTAGTTACCAGGCTAGGTATGATGGCTCCTTCCAGTAAACCTAGCGTTTTGGGAGTCTGAGGCTGTGGCATCACAGCCTGGTCAACTTAGCAATTTAATAGGAACCTGCTTCAAAATTTCAAAAAAAGAAAAGCCCTTGTGCACAGCTCTGGGTTCAGTCCCCATTACCACCAAGAAACAAGTTCAAGTCCTGCTTATGCAACTTAATAAGACACTGTCTCAAGAGAGACAGAGCAAGCTAGGGAATTAGTTAAATGGTAGAGCCATCCTGGGTTTGATTACCAGTACCAACTCACACAAATCAATTACCAAATGATGTTAAACATATTAATAAAAGCTACAAATTATCCTACTTTTGAACAATGAGGCACCGATTACCAATCAGGAATAATATGTTGTCATCAAAATTACAAAATACTGTATATGTTTGGGAATGGGGTTGAGCCACACTCTCACTATAGTTTAGGCTGGCCTTGAGCTCACTATATACCCCAGGCTGGCTTCAAACTTGGTGATCCTCCTGCTTCAGCTTCCTGAGAAGTAGGGATTATAGGTGTGTGCCACAAGGCCATGCTACAAAATAATATTTCTGAAAAATATTTAATGATGTGAGGCGCAGCTCTAATATGACATAAGAACTTGGAAAGCACTATCCTGAATAGTATTTGTAGAGAGGTGTAAGAAGTGAAGACACTTTCCCCAGCATCCTCATAGCCTTTTAACAGGCCTCCAAATGGGGCGCCTAGTGCCAAAGAGCTTAGGACACATTCCAGGGTCTGGGTCTTACACAAATAGCTCCCTCCCCACCTCCCAAGAGCCAAGGATTCAGGACGGATGAACCAGGAGCCTACCGCCTCCAGGGAGGCCATGGCCTGTCCCAGATCCAGTGGCAGCTTGTGGCCTGCCTCTGTGTCCCCCTGGTGTGACATTCCAGGGTCTTTTCTCCACCATTCCACCCAGCTGAACTGTGAGCCTGAGACAAATACAACCTCTCAGGTCCTGCTTTGACATTGTGTCCAGAGTGGGCTTGTAGAAGGAACAGTCTGCAGCCAATACACAGGCCCCAGCTACAAACCCCAGAGAACAAAGCTCCAAAGGAAGCCTGTGACCACAGGAGAAGGCAAAGCGAACCACCACAGGTGGTTAGGGAAATGTGGGGCTCCACCCAGAAAGGGGCACTTGTGCTAACATGAGGGGACAGTGGGAGTTTGACAGATGCAGGTATTACACGAAAGTCATATGGTTCTTGTCTTATGTTTCATACTTCAGAGGAGGAGAGGAAGTTTTGTTTAAAATATGCTTTCCTGGGCTGGGGGTTTAGCTCAGTGGCATAAGCACCTGCTTTGCGAGTGCTCAGTCATGACTTCAATCCCTGGTACCGATAAAAAGGAAAAAGACAAAAAAAAAAAAAAAAGTGCTTTCCTTTCCGTATTAATACTTTTCAAGGCTGGCCATGGTGGTGCATGCCTGTAATCCCAGCATTTGAGAGAATGAGACAGGAGGGTCACCTTGAGTTCGAGGCCAGCCCGAGCTACACAGTGAGTTCAAGGTGAACCTGAACTACATAGCAAGACCCTGTCTCCAAAAAAAAAAAAAAAAAAGAACTTTTCAAGCTGGGAGTACAAATGGCAAAGCACACATCTAGCATGTGTAAGGCCCTGGGTTTGATCACAATAAAAGAATAACTTTTACTGTAGAAAATGTATAAAATAATGATAAGAAAAAGCATAGCCTCCTATCATCTTGCTGTCTCCAGCAGTCGTTTTCTACCTGGACTCCTTCTCAGTATCTCCCATGGAGCTTTTAAGAAATACCAGCAACTGTCTGCAGAAATTCTGTGATATTTTTGTTACTCTCAGGCCTCAGCCTTAGTCTCACCGAGTCTGTCATGAAAACAACTGCTTCAGTCTCAAATCTCTTTTTCCACTGATGCCCCATAGTCCTTACGCCTGGGTTTCCCATATCCCTCTTCCTGCCCCAAGAAAATGATCTCCAGGGAGGCACCAGGACTCTGACCCCAGAATGCCTCAAACTTAAGTTCCAGGCTAGGCTCTGGTTGCCAAGTAATTAATTTTACTTGTTACACAAAACAGATCATTACATTTTTTTTTCTTACTTTTTTTTTTTTTTTTTTGTCTTTTTCCTTTTTATTGGTACCCGGGATCAAACTCACGACTGCCTACTTGCAAGGGCAGGCACTTATGCCACTGAGCTAAATCCCCAGCCCCAGACCATTACATTCTTATTCTTAGACAGCTGAGCTTTCCCCCAGCATTTCACTATTATAGACAACCTTGAACACACTCATGGTTGTATCCTTGAGATAAATGATTTGAAGAGAAATTATTTAGTTCAAGGGTACCTAACTTTCAAGGCTTCTGATGTATGTTGCCAATGTCTCCTCCAGTTTGTCTAATTATACATCCACCAGCTGTATGTGATGCCTTTTATAGTCATTCATGCCTGACTAAACTGAGTATTTAAAACACACCAGGAGTTTAAAAAAACTATCTTTCTTTAACTGCTATTATTGGTGAAGTTGAGGATTTTTCTATTTACCTCCCATCATCACTGGTGTTATATCTTTGTTTTAAAAATTTTTTAATTTAAATTTTATTTATTTATTATTTGAGACAGGGTCTCGCTATGCATGCAGTTCAGGCTAGTCTCGAGCTCACTTTGTAGCCCAAGCAATCTCGGACTTGCAACAGTCCTCCCTCTGCCTTCCAAGTGCTGGGATTACAAGTGTGCACCACCACACCTGGCCTTTCTTCTTCTTCTTCTTCTTCTTCTTCTTCTTCTTCTTCTTCTTCTTCTTCTTCTTCTTCTTCTTCTTCTTCTTTTTAACCAGGAATCAAACTCAGGACCTTGCACTTTTTAATGTTTTTTAGCTTTTTAAATTTTTTTATTTTTGGTACCGACAGTTGAACTCAGGTCCTTTGCTTACCAGGCAAGCACTCCTATCTACATCCCTGGCCCCTGCTACTTGTTTTTTTAATGATTTACACCTGCCTTTTTTCTACTATTGAGATATTAGACTTTTCCTCTTGATTTATAATCATTGCAATATTGAGTACATTTGGGTAGATTAAAGTGCAAAATAAAAGCTAGATAATAGGAAATAGGGAGACATTTTTTGTAAATGGGAAATGGACACAGATGGAGGGTGAGAAAGAGAATGGGACATATGTACAATTAAGATGTGTTACGTATACGTACCAACTTCCCACCGCAAATGTATTCATTTTGCACTGCAAACATGTACTAGTAAAAATAATAATTAAAAAAGAATACATTACAGCCAGATATGGCGATACATGCGTGTTCCTAGCACTCTGGGAGGCTGAGGCAGAACTGCAAACTCAAACCTTGCCTGGAGAATTTAGCAGCTTAACAAGAGTCTGCCTCAAAATTTATCTTTGCAATTTTTTTTTTCCAAATCCATTTTATTTCAAGGATAAAAAGAAAGAAAAGAGGAAAGAGAAGAAAAGGAAGGAGGAGGAAGAGAAAAGAAAGAATACAACAAAATTTCAAAAACGCATCAACCAGGGTTGCCTCAAAATTTAAAAAAATTCAAAAAAAAAAAGCAAAGAAAAAGAGCTGGGCGTGGTGGTGCACTCCTGTAATCCTAGCATTTGGTGTGGTGGTGGTGGTGGTGGGGGGTTGATGCTGAGGTAGGAGGATCCTTGCAAATTCAAGACCAGCCTGGTCTACAAAGTGAGCCCATGGCCAGCCTGACCCACACAGTGACACCCTGTCTCAAAAAGACAAACAAAACAAAACACAAGATGTAACTCAGTATATTTTGAAACATCTTTCTTTTTAAGCTTTCAATTCTGTTTTATGCTTTTAGCACAGAAAATTTAGAAATATTTACAATATCAAATTTCTTCATTGTTCTTTGATACAAGGTCTCATTATATAGCCTAGACTGGCCTCAGACTTGTGGTAGTTCTCCTGCCTCGGCCTCCCTGGCACTTGGAGCTAGGGAACTAGGGACCTTCTAACCCTTTCCTTTGCAGCTTTTGGTTTTGGCTTCAGGTTTCTAGGTGGCAAGTTTTAAATAGCTCCCATGACATTCCCTGACAGCTGAGACCTAATATTAATTGGAGAGGGTTATAGACATAAGGCATTTCTCTGCCCCCCGACTTTTACCCCTTTTTTCCCCATCTTTCTTTTTTTTTACTGTGACTATGATAAGAAATACATTTGATATTGCAAATGACTACATAGTGTCTATTTTAAAATGTTTCATGAAACATTGCTTACCCTACCTCTAGGTGACAGTCTGAAATTTCTACTAAAAAGGTCAGAGTAATTTTATTCTATTTTTTAAATAGGGTGTGGCTTGGAGCTAGAGTGCATGCTTAGCATGTGTGAGGCCCTGGGTTCAATGCTCAGCACCAAAGGAAATTAAATGGATTTAACAGTCCATCAAGAGGATCTTAACTGAGAGTCTGCGAGGCTGATTTTCACTCTCTGCAGTCTCACCTGCTTCCATGCCGCTGTGGCACGTCTCCCAGAGTGTGATACAGAGGGCAGATAACCATAAATCCACAGAGGACACTGAGGCCTTGTGTCTGGCCACTCAAGCTGAACTAAGCTTTGATTGACATCTAACAGGCAAGAGCTCAAATTTGAGTTTTGGATTTAAATCCTGAGGTTGAACACAAGGTTCTTTCTAGTTGCACAGCCCTGAAATCCTCTCTCTTCACCTTAATTATTTAATTTTTTTTTTAAGCTCATTATGCAGTTCAAGCTGGTCTTGAACTCACTTATGTAGCCCTGGCTGGCCTCAGACTCACTGTGATCCTCCTGCCTCAGCCTGCAGGTGCTGGAATTACAGGTATGTGCCACCACACCCGGCTATCCTCACTTTAATGCACTACTGGGAAACTCTTTTCCATTGTGTTATCCCAGCTTGGCACCGAATGGTCAACAGGATCTGCTTGAGCTCATCTGTTCTTGCAATCAGAGCCCAAGGAAAGGATGACACAACTTTCTTGGGCAGAAAAACTAATCTGGCGTGTCCTTTGCACATACATTAGGACTGGCACGAGGAAGCTAGCCCTACACAGTGAGGGTGGAGAGTGATTATGTGGCTGACTTCCAAGAAAGAGACCGATGACACTGTCAGCAGCCAGCACTGGTCCTTACTTTGATAATGGAAATTAAAACGGAAGCAAGAATTTGCAGGAGGACCAAGGATTTAGCTCAGTGACATAAGCACCTGCCTGGCAAACACAAGGTCATGAGCTCAACCCCTGGTACCAAAAATAATAATAATAATAATAATAGAATTTAGGAAAAATACTTCAGTTGGAAAGCAAGAGAAAATGACAAACTGGGCATGGTAGCACATGCCTGTAATCCCAGAACTCAGGAGACTGAGGCAGGAGGATTACCACAGGTTCAAGGCCAACCTGGGCAATGTAGTGAGTTTAAGGCCAGGCTGAACTATTGAGCGAGATTCTGTTTCAAAGAAACCGAAACAAAACAAAACAAAGCAAGAGAAAATGGTAAGGAACTCTAGTTTGAAAAGTGGACAAATTGGGGCTGGGGATTTAGCTCAGTGGCATATAAGCGCCTGCCTTGCAACCCGGCAGTTGTGAGTTCGATCCCTGGTACCGATAAAAAAAAGGAGACAAAAAAAAAAAAAAAAAAGAAAGAAAGAAAGAAAAATGGACAAAGATCAAGCTGGTCCTTAACAAAGGACAGCAAGAGAAACTAGGAAAGGGGCTGGAGCTGGCACCGGGGGTGGCGCACACTGATGAAGAGTGTCCAGTTGACCTGTGGACAAAAAAAAAAGAGATCAGTTTTCTGAGGTGCAGTAGTGGGCTGGGCTGGTTAATCATTCTCGCAGCCCTGGGTTTGTAGCTGGAGGAACCCTTGCGACTGGGGGCAGTTTGGCTCCGATGGGTGATCACCACCAGGGGTGGGCTTCCCGGCTCTGCTTTGCCAGGAGCCCAGGGATTTCGGGGGCCTCAGGACAATGACTGGACACTTCCAGGCAGCATGGTGGCAGAGGTGTTGTAAACCCGGTCATCAGATTCAGCGAATTCTGAAAACTAGTTGCTCATATGGTGGTGTCCTCCATGCTGAAGGGGACTGAGGTAGTTTAGGTACACTGAACGGCTCATAAATCTTGTTTTGCCAACTTTTCCTAAATAGTCACCACACCTATATCCAAAGTTTTACAATAATAAAGAGTATGAAATGAAGGTCAAGGTTTGTTTTGCCTTCAGTTACTTGCGGGGTATCTGTCTATAGGCCAGAAGCCAAGAGTCACAGTTTTAGCAAAAACTACTTTTAAGTACCTGATTGCCCCAGAAGAACATACAAGTAATGCTTTTAATGAGTAACAGGTTAAGGGCACAAGAATTTGTCTATCTTGTCACTATGTTGGTCTCTGACTGTGTCAACAAATATAAAGCCATGAAGAAGCTGTGAGGAAGACTATCCACCAAGGAAGTGACCTCAGGAGACTTGAATTCAAAAGTCACCACTCTGGGGCTGGGGATTTAGCTCAGCGGCAAAAGCACCTGCCTTGCAAGCAAGTGGTAGTGAGTTCAATCCCCGGTACCGATAAAAAAGAAAAAGACCAAAAAAAAAAAGCAAAAGTCACCATTCTGTCTGGAAGTTCCCCATCTTCCCCTCACCCTAGTATTGGGAATTGAAACTAAGGGCCACCTCCCCAGCCCTTTTTAAAAAAAATTAATTAATTTATTTTTACTTTAAGGGAGTCTTGCTAAATTGCCCAGATTAGCCTGGAATTTGCAATCCTTCTGCCCCAGCCTCCTGAGTAGCTGAGATTACAGGCATGGATCACTATGTCCAGCCATTTATCAATCTTCTGTTCTAGGTCAAGTCAAAACTCCTCTATGCCTCATTTTTATCATCTATAAATGTTTTAATAATACCAGCTTTCTCAGGGGTGTAGAGAAATGCAATTGAAAATCATAGCAGTACAGGACTAAGCAGTGGCCTCAAAAATTGAGGCCTTTCTGATTTGAAAAGCTGTGGAACAACTGGCCATTGAATTTGCATAATGGTTGTGCCTGTAGTTTAACTACAGTTAGAGTTAATGTTTTTAGCAGCCATATATTTATGTATTTGTTTGTTTGTTTAGTTTTGGAGATAGAGTCCCCCTATGTAGCCCATGCTGGCCTTAAACTCGAAGCGACCCTCCTGCCTCAGCCTCCCAAGTGCTGGGATTACATGCGTGAGTCACCATGCCCAGCTATCTCTGAGCTTTTTGGATTGTGGGCCTGCCCTGAGCAGTCCTTCACCCAGTAAACACCCAGGATGAGCTGTAGAGCAGCAAGCTGGGTGTGGTGAAGATAAATTTTAGCTCTTCAGAGAAACAGTGAGGTCAAAATGACTGAGCCCCTGCCCAAAACAGCGAGACTGTGAATGGAGCAACCTAAAAGCTCGGGTGGAATTTACAGCTCAGAACAGTTCCACGAGGCCTTCACTAGGGTGACAGGGCGGTCTTGGTGTCTTTGTTCTTCCCCTGGATAATTTCCTGCAGAGGGCGCAGGGTAGGAAGTTGTCTGGCCCTCAAGGGGTTTCCCTTCTCTCAGAAGAGACAGGGGCTAGCATGAGCCTCAGGCCTGTGTCGGTGCTAGGCCCTTGCTTGCCTGGGCAGAGCTGAGGACTGCAGGTCCCCAACCGGCTCAGGCAAACAGACTCTCTCTTCTGAGAATTTGAAACCTGAACAGTCTCTGTGCCTGGCAAGCTCGAGCAGTGTCACATGAGCCATGGACCTGCGGAAAGAAGGTCCCCTGGCTGCCCTGCTCCCTGCCTGTCTGCTGTAGTTTCTTAGCTCTGCCTTCAGCCCCTGGGCCATGCCAGTCTCTTTCCATAAATTTCCATTTAGGCTGGGTGATCAGAGTTGCTTCCAGAGGAATCAAAAAATAAGCAAAAAACCCAACCAAAAGCAAGCCAAAGACATTATACAGCGTCTTAGGAGCACAGACATGCTGAGGTGAAGAGAGTGTGAACTTTGGTCCTTTGTTGTTTGAAACTTTTTCTGTACCCAAAGTAGTTTTGAATCATGGTTTTCAACTGGTCTGCTGCATAAGCTTATGCAAGCTTCCCGAGTCTTAATTTCCTTGACTATAAAGAGGAGATCACCAACTTTATAAAGTCGGTTTGCTGATTACTTAAGTGGTTATTTTTGCTTATTTCCTAGCCAGCAGCTGTGTGACAAATAGCTGAGGCTTTTGGAGATTAGTGACATAAGGATTCTTTAAATATTAGTACATTTTTTAAAAAACAGGAATACTGGGCTGGAGATTTAGCTCAGTAGCACAGTGCTTGCTGGCAAGCATGAGGTTGTGAGTTTGATACCTGGAAACAACAACAAAACAGAAATACCTAATTTTTTTTTTAATCGGTACCCAGGATTGAACTCACGACCGACCACGCGCTTGCAAGGCAGGTGCTTATGCCTGCTGAGCTAAATCCCCAGCCCCTTCCTTTCTTTTTTATGTCTGCCTTTCTTTCTTTTCTTTTTTCTTTCTTTCTTTCTTTCTTTCTTTCTTTCTTTCTTTCTTCTTCCTTCCTTCCTTCCTTCCTTCCTTCCTTCCTTCCTTCCTTTTGTCTTTCTGAGACAGGGTTTCACTATGTAGTTCAGGGTTGCCTTGAACTCACTTTGTCGACCAGGCTGATGTGGAACTCGCAGCAATCCTACTGTCCCAGCCTTCCGAGTCCCTGGATTACAGATGCGTGCCACCACACCTGGCTCTTTTCCATGGATTCCTAAGAATAAGAAATTCTAATGCTTTTTTTTCTTTTTCTTATTTTTTTAAAGTAGAAATCAGGTCCTCATGCATGCTAGGTAAATACTGAATTCTTGGAAAGTAAACTAGTACAACTACTATGGAAATCAGTATGGAGATTCCCCAAAACACTAAAACTCGAAATTCTGTTCCCCTTCTAGGTATCTACCTGAAAGACTTTAGAACATTACAGTGAAATATACATACTGAAGTTTATATAATAGTTTGTATAATGGTATAGCCATAATAGCTAAATTTTGGAAGCAGTCTGTATGTCCATCAAAAGACAAATACGTGAAGGACCACCTGGTGACTCTCCTTGAAGAAGTGCGCTTGGCCCTACTCCACAGATAGATGGGCACAGAGCTAGTGCCTACATTTCCTTATCCCCTCAGCTGGCTTTCAGCAGTGCAAATTGGTCTGGCCCAGGTGCTGATGTCTTTGAAGCAATGCAATGGGTTGGTGATGCCCCCGCTACAGCTCTCAAGTCACATGTGTGAGCTAGGCTGAGTGACACCATGGTGTCCCTGAGAAGCAGCCTCCAGAAAAGAAGCTATGTTTTCTTAGGGCATGGGTTCATCTCAGAACTGAAGCGCTGACCTCAGAACACTAGATATTGCCCCAACCTGTGATATGCAGATGACTCTTTTTCCATATCCTTCCCTCTGCAGATTGCAGAGGTGATTTCAGGCCTCCTGCTTAGCCCAGCTCGCCGATTCATGTGCTTCCAGGCTTTCTCATAGGCGCTCATTCCAAAGCTATTTCACTCTTTATGAATTAATAAAACCCAGGTTCGTCCCTGGTCCAGGCAGTTCTAGCTGGACTTAGGATGCCTTTAGCTCCCCATAACTACAAATATGCCTTAGCATCTTTGTTCTCACCATAAACTGTACTGGGAGTGGTAGATTGAAATTCCAATCACTTTCCTATGGGATTACAAATATCAACTTCACTGAACCTTGATGAGGTTGGGAAGGGTAAAGGAGATGTGGTATTTATACAAAGTAGAGTACTACTCTGTCATAAAGAGGGTACACTTGAGTCATCTATAGGAAAACATGTACTTTGAGAACATAATGCTAAGGAAATTAATCAGACACACAAGCTAAAATATCACATGGCTTCTCTTATATGAGAAACCCAAACTTTAAATGAAGAGCAAAATAAAAAATAAGAAGCAGGGAGATAGATCTTTTGCAAAAGGAAATGGACTAGGCAATGGGGGGAGGGTGACAGGGAGAGAGGGAAGAAGAGGAAAGCGGGTTGGTTGAATAGTATTAATAGTGCAAAGCCCTGAGTTTGATTCCCGGTACAAAAAGAAAAAAAAAAACAGTAATTAAAAAAAGTGTTCTGTACATGCACCAATCCTCATGATCAGTGTAATCATTATACACTGCAAGCATAGATTAAAAATTAAAGAAAAGAAAACTGAAACAGAAAAGTGAAAAAGGTGCTCTACCACTCAGCCCCTTTACCAGCTGAGTCTAAGCTCTGCTGCAGCCAGTGCATCCGTGTGTTTACATAAGCATAAGATGAGCTTGTTTTCATGTGATTCTAAATATTTAATAATTTATGTTTTATAAAAAGTATCACGTGAATAAAAACACTTTCAATCCCTTCTTCAGACTGGGAATACAGCAGCTGAGCTGATAGTATGAACAGGATCCAGTTGTGAGCAGCTTTGAGCTCGGCCCCAGTCACAGCTGAAAGCAGGTTTCGAACTGGCCAGTGCGACGCCTTGTCTACGTGGTGCCTGGTGAGGTGCCCACTGGGGCTTCACATCTGTATTGAGCCTGAGTGCCAGGAACTGCAAAGAGCAAAAGTACCTGGAGGAAGGGTACAGCCCGAGGTGGCCCGGGCACTGTGCTCGCTCCGGAGCTCACTGCTGCTCAGCAGTGTTCCAGGGATAGTCCAGGAAGGGTCTCGGCAGGGACGGATCTCCAGGACATGAGATTAAAAAACGGAGTCTGTGACATGATTTTGAAAGCCTCCAAATTCAGGGAGATGTGACTCTCCCCAACCACCTTTCCATTCTAGTGCTTGTGTTTTGATTATACATGCTCTAATTTCTCAGAAAATTCATTTATTCTTGCCCAGAGGCTGCAAAAGCTCCAAGTAATTATACAGATAAAACCAGTGACAAATGTACCAGACTGCTTTTACAGAGATCTACTCGATCGACCTTGTGAAAGGAATTCGTAACTGCTTAACTGCAACATGACTCCTAGCCATGGCCCATTAGATTAGCTCTCTGGGGAAGGCCCTTGACAACAGCTAGATGGAAACTACAGCCCTTCTCCCCTAACTACAGTTAGGATAGCTCTTTGGGCTATTACAGACAGCTGCGTTAGGTATTGTGGGCAATGGGACAGGGCTAGGCCCTCACTGGAGTCAGGCAGAAGAAGAGAACACATTAACAACTGGCTGGAGGCACACCTGAAGATTAAAATCACAATGGACAGATTTACAAACTTCCCTAAAAAAGCTTGAGATTATTGGTACCGCCCTTTTGAGATTTCTCATATAAATGAACCATTATCTTACTAGGGTGGGCCATCCACTCCCACTCACTAAGACTAATAAGGCTAAAACTAAAAACAAAACTATGATGTCCACCAGGTGTGGTGGCACACACCTGAAATTCCAGCACTTGACATGCTGAGGCAGGACCAATGCAAAATCTAGGCCAGCGTGGCGCCCCCCAAAACAACAACAACAACAACAACAACAACTAAGACTACAGATTATCCCAAGGTTAATGAAGTCATCTACCTGTCCTGTTACTACTGGATCAAATTAGCTAAGTGGCTATACATGTTAGTTGATTATAGTTTTGACTCACATTGTACCCACCTTGTGAGTTAGGTCTGTAAAACTTTCTCTGAGAAGTGAGCTCTTCAGTAATCCATTGGTATCTCAGGAGCTATTCCTATTCTCCAATAAGCTGTCCTACTCTTAAAACAAAACAAATGCCAGGGAGAAGAGTTTTGATTATTTTTTTCTCCACCAGTGGAGGCAGCAGGGTGGCAGTGGGGGTACAGCCATCTCTGGCAGCTGTATATAGAGAGAGTGGGCTGAAAGCCTGTTGGAATCACTGCATGTCCTGAGGATGGAACCAGGCCTGGCACACATGCAGGAATGTGCTCTACCACTAAGCAACGTCTGTATCCCTGAATAGGTTTTTTTGCTCTTTAGATTTCTAGAGACCTGAATAGGTTTTCAGTGCCCCCCCCCCCCCCCCCCGCTCCCCAATGAGGGATTGGACCCAGAGCCTTTACAACAAGCTACATGCTCAGCCCCTTTTATTCCTTATTTTGGGACTGGCTCTTGCTAAATCATGTGAAATTGCTCAGAGTGAGCTTGATTTTTTTTTTTTTTTTTTGTACTGGGGATTGAACTCACAACCTCACACTTGCCAGGCAGGTACTTACTGTGCCACTGAGCTGTATTCCTGGTCTCTTGAGCTTGAATTTTTTTATCCTCCTTTTTTTTTTTGAGACAGGGATTCTGTAATGTAGTTCAGGCGGGCCTTGAACTCACACCAGATCCTCCTGCCTCAGCCTCCAGAGTCCTGGGATTACAGATATGTGCCACTATGCCCTGCACCAGGTTTTTTTTCTAAATGACTACCATAAGATGTTGTTTTCAAAACTTTGCAACAGATATTCCCTTCCAAAGAGGACTCCCTCCCGCTCTGCCTGTGCGCTTTCCTGCATGCTCCTGCCCTGCCGCTCCCCCATAGCCTAAATGCCACCTCCATACTTTGCAATGCTCTCTTTATCTGCCTTCTAGATAAAGAGATCAAAGTTTCTGCAAGATCTGATTTCCCTGGATACTTTACATGAGGAGGAATGGAGGCGGGAGGAAGGATAGGTTGATCTGTCAGAGGACTCAGATGGAAATTTCTGGTCCAAAGGTCAAATCCTGGCTGGGAATGTGGTTCAGTGGTTGAGTGCTTACCTAGCATGTGCAAGGCCCTGGGTTTAATCCCCAGTAATATGAAAAGAAAAAGAAAAACTACTAGAGAAAACCAAAGGTGAAGTCGCCTGCACAGTTGGCCACCTTGGATCTTCACAGGTGAGGGGTCACCCCGCTCTCCTACTGTGTGTCAGACACCAAATCTAGAGCAGAGTTCAGGCAGAGGACAGTCCTGGGGCTTTGTGCCCCATGCTCTTTTCCTTCAGGAGTCACATGTATAGGTTTATAAAGAAAGACAACTCGCCAGGACATCTGTAAATCCCAGCTCACAGGAGACTGAGGCAGGAGGATACGGGTTGAGTTTGAGGCCAGCCTGGACTATATAATGAGTTCAAGCCAGCCTGGGTTGCATAGTAAGACCGCATCTCTCAAAAATAAATAAATAACAATCAAAACCCAGTAGAGAATATCTGTAAAGCACCTGGTTTTTAAAAACACACCAAACCCGAAAAAGCTCAAGTGGACACTTTCTTTGGCCTCCCTCACAGTAGTCTCTGTTCATCTGGCAATCCTTGGTCACTTAGGACATCAGCAGAGCCTCAGGTGATCATGAGTGGGTAGACGGAATGGACAGGAGCAGCAGAGGAGAGAGCTGGGGTTAGATTCACTTTTTATTCTAGCAGTTCTCAAACATGGCTGCAGAGCCGGGGTTTAGCTCAGCGGCAGAAGTGCCTGCCTGGCAAATGCTAGGTCACGAGTTTGATTCCCAGTGCCAAAACCAAAACAAAAAAATCCCACCCAATAAACAAAGAAACAAAAACATGACTGCAGTCTAGAATCACCTGTGTGCAGATTTTTGAAATCTTAAAACCATACTAAAGCATACTAATGATAACAGATTCTCTATGATTTGGGACCATATATCAGTATTTTTCAAATCTCAACTGAATATGGTGGCCCACACCTGTAATCTTAGCACTAGGGAGGCCGAGGCAGAAAGACAAATTGCCGATACTCTTCCTTCCTTTTCTGTTTTCTTTTGTACTGGGAATTGAATCGGGACCTTCATTATAAATTATATACCCAGGCCTTTTTGTTTTTAAATTTTAAACAGGTTTCTCTAAGTCACTTAGTTGCCCTGCCCCAATCTTCTAGAGTGTAGGGATCACAAGTCTGGGCCACCATGCCTGCCAATGTTTTATTTTGTAGTTTATTTTATTTTATTTTATTTTATTTTATTTTATTTTATTTTATTTTATTTTTTGTCTTTTTCTTTTTTATCGGTACCGGGGATTGAATGCAAGACCGCCTGCTTGCAAGGCAGGTGCTTATGCCTCTGAGCTAAATCCCCAGCCCCACCTGCCTATGTTATTTATTTATCTGTAGTCTTGCTATATGGTTCAGGAAGGCCTTAAACACAACTATGCCTGTCTTTTTAAAAATAATATTTAGAAGTGTAACTGTTCCCTGAGGGTGGGTTTGTAGTTTTGTTTGAATATGACCTTAACGAGTTTTTTGTTTTACTTGGTTTTGTTTTTCCCCGCAGGGTGTTTTTTTTAATTACTTTTTTTTTTTTTGACAGACTCTTGCTCTGTAGCCGTGGCTGGCCTTGAATTCACAGGAATCCTCCTGCCTCAGGCTCCTGAATTGCTAAGATTATAGGTGTGTGCCACCATGCTCAGCATGGGAGGGTGGTGGGTTTTTAACTTGGTGTTCTCTGCTGTGTGATGGCTCTCTCAGCTAGCATCATGTACTGCACTGTGGTACATGCCTGTGGTGTACCCAGACAGACAGGCTGGAATTTGCACCAGAGAGGCACTTTGGCCTAATTAATAAAGGAGTTCTGGATGTGAACAGATTGGCTTTCTGACCTAGGGTAAGTTACTAAATCAGTGCAAAGTGCCTGGCAAGTAGTCAGGCTTGTAAAAAGTAGAGCTATTATTATAAATGGCTTTTATACCTTCATCATTCTTTGGGCAAAATGAGTATCTGACTTAAATTCAATGGTTGGCTGAGGTGGTACATGCCTGTGATCCAGCACTTGGGAGGCTGAGGCAGGATTGTTGCAAATTCGAGGCCAATCTGAGCTACCAAGTGAGCTCAAGGCCAGCCTGAACCGCATAGTGAGACCCTGACTCAAAAAGGCAAAAAAAGCACACACACACACACACACACACACACACACACACACAGAAATAAAGAAAGAAAAGAAAAACAGAATCAATGGTTGATGAGATTAGTACAGCACTGCCCAATAGAATATATCAGAAAATATACACTTAATATCAAATTTTCTAGTAACTGTACTTTAAAAAGTAAAATAAAAGAATTGGGATTATAGCTCAATGGCAGAGGACTTGTCTAGCATGTTCGAGGTCCTAAGTTCTATACCCAGCACTGTAAAAAAAAAAAGGAATGAATAATTTTAACAACAAACTTCATTTAACTCAATATATCTAAATATTATTATTTCTACTCAGGAGGCTGAGGCAGGAGGATCACAGTGAGTTTGAGGCCAGCCTGGGCTACATTATGAGTTTAAAGCTAGCCTGAACTGCATAGTGAGACCTTGCCTTAAAAAAAATTATTTTAACATAAAGTCAGTATTAAAAAAAATTTTTTTTTCTTGGTACGAGGGATCGAACTCACAACCACACTTGCAAGGCAGGCGCTTATGTTGCTGAGCTAAATCCCCAGCCCCTAGTCAGTATTAAAATTTAATAAATTATTAGTGCCCTATTTTGTTTGACTTATTATTTTTGAGATAGAGTCTCACTATGTCATTCAGGCTGGTCTTGAACTCAATGTGTAACCCAGGCTGGCCTCAAACTTGCAGTAATCCTCCTGCCTTGGCCTCTGTGTGCTGGGATAACAGGTGTGGACCATCTGCTCAGCAGGTGAGCTATTTCACCCCTCCCTCCATACTAAGTCTTTGGAATTTAGTACAGTTTTATGTACTATTTGTTTCTTCTTTATTTATTGTCATAGTGGGGGACCTAACTCATGGGTTCTCTCCACTGGGCTACAACCTCAGCCCTATTTTATTTTTTGAGACAAGGTCTCATAAAATTGCTCAGGTGGGGCTGGGGATTTAGCTCAGCGGCATAAGCACTTGCCTTGCAAGCAGGTGGTCATGAGTTCAATCCCTGGTACTGATTAAAAAAAAAAAATTGCTCAGGCTAAGTCCCAACTTGTTTTTATTCTCTTGTTTTTTGGTACCAGGACTCAGACTCAGGACCTTGCACTTGCCAGGCAGGGGCTTATGCCACTGAGCTAAATTCCAGCCCTAGGTGCAAACCTGGGACCTGCCTGCTTCGACCTTCTGAGTTAGCTGGGATGGCAGGCAGCGGCCACTATACCTGGCTGATGTTCTCCATCTCAATAGAGACCAAGTGTGTTTTCAAGCCTCTGCCAGTCTCCTGGCTGCTGTGCCTGACAGGACTGTTGAGAGCACTGTCCTTCTTCCCTGTCTCCACTCCTGCACGCTCCGGGTCTGCTGAATGCGCTTCTCCAGCCAGTCCCTCACGCTTGCTTGGACCAGGCCTTCTTTTGTTCTGCTCTGAGGTTTTTCTGTAAAAGATCCCGTTTTTAGCCTAACATTTTACAAGCTGATCCTTGCGCAAACATCCCCATGCCTTTGCAAGATTACTTGTTTGCAATCAGGACATTGGTGACACTTAAGAGGCAAGTGACATTTTCTGTCTTGCTTTTTACAAAAACTGACCCAAAAGGCATCTTGCCCAGAGGCAGGGTGGGAGGTTGACCAGGACCCCTCTATACTTTCTAGGCTTCCTACCCAGGCCCCACCCCCCTGGGGGTGGAAGTCTGTGACCCTCACAGCCAAGCAGCCTGAGTCATTGCAGCCACTGTTAAACCTTAGCTTCAGAATCAGAGCTGCTTTTGTTTTTCATTGAATAGGCAGCCCAGAATGCAGACACACACACACACACACACACACACACACACACACACACACACGCTGACCGAGGCCTAAGGACTGGTTCTTAAGTAGGAGAACATGTTGTTTGCCATAATTGCTGCTTTTTTTTGTTTTGGGGCTAACAGGAATCGAACTCAGGACCTCAAGCTTCCCAGGCAGGTGCTGCACTGCCATTGAGCTAAATCCCCAGCCCCTGTTTTTTGTTTTTTGAGTTTTTTTTGAGACAGAGTCTCACTATGTAGCCTGGGCTGCCTTAACCTTCAGCATTCCCCCCCCCCCGCCGCCTCAGTCTCCTGGGTGCTGGGATTACAGGCGTGTGCGTGTGCCTGTACCTGACTGCTAAGCTTCTTGCTA